GGGTCAGTGACTGAGGTCCGTAGTCTAGTCATTTACCGCTCCAAAGCATCCATCCGAGTGCTCCTGCATGGCTGTAACGATCCTGCCTCGTGCCCTCTATGAGGGGCTGTGATCTCAGTAGCTTCAGCAGCATCAGAATCATCCTCAGATTCAGACTCATCAGACGAGTCATCATTGCGTCGTACTAGCTCTCGTCCCTCTTGCCCAATTTTTCTCGCCCGGAAAGGGGTTTTTATAGGTAATTTCCTATCAACTCGGGAGTTCTCATGAACATTAGCAAGGCGGCATATACGGGTGACAAGCGAAGGGAAGTAGTGGCCTTTGCTTAGTTCGGGCGATCGGATGAACATTTCTTCAGAGAGGACTCGGGCGACATCAAACCCTTGGTGAGTCATAAAGCAGTAGATCATAGCGGCCCGTGGCCCATTTAAATCAGTGGTATTGCTGGATGGTAGCAACCGAGTGATGCTGACAGTGAGCCAACATTTGGCCTCCCAAGTAAGAGACTTGGAATGCAGAGTCGACGGTTGTGCTACCCATTTGGGTTGTCTGCCAGGTATACAGATGACCTCTAGAATTTTGTCCCAGTCAACCATCGGGCGACTAGCCATGATGTAATGATCATCACCCGTGAATGCGGGGAGACGATACACTCTGCGGATGACCTCTATAGCAGCATTAACCGGGGTGTTGCGCACAGTCACAACCTTGTCCTCGTGTTCTGGCAGGTTTGCATAGAACTCCCGCACTAGCTAAATATTGGCTTCCTCGGGAGCCTCAAAGAAGATGTCCAGCTGACACCTCCATAACTCATCAAACATATTGGGGCATTCCTTCACTAAAGCCTTCCTGTCAATATGGACCTCATGGAGTAACTTCTTGGCAAGTTTCTAATTGTACCGTGCCTCTGCTTCTGCAGAGACGAACCGAGTGCTATAAAACCATGGTGCACTGGTTTGGCCCCTAGATCGTGAGGAGCCTCCTGGGACACTAGTAGAGGACTCGGTGTTTCGTCTCTTACGGGATGAACTCATAATACCTGTCAAAACAGAGAAACACGTATTAGGATGAGCCTAAAATATGTGACTATGGATGGTTACTCAGACTTCACCACAACCATGTCACAACATCTTCTTATATCACCATTGAGGCAATTTCTCAAACACATTATGGGCAAGGCATTTTCTTCATGTTCATGGCCCCAAGGGAATCAAGAAAACTTCCCCAAATCAACTATCTACTACACCCACACATTCCACACTTTTGTTAACCATCACCCACCAGCAACACCATTCCAAACATTCAAAACACAGCCCCTTCACCAGACATATGCTAAAAACGAAATTACACTAAAAAGAAGAAGAAGAACTAAACAAAACAAAATCCTATCACAAACACTACATTAGAACAATATGAACTAGCATAATGCAACAAAAACAGTAGAAGGAAAGGAGAAGGGGGGGTCAGAAACATACCTTGGGGGGAAGAAGATGAGGGGTGTTGTGAAGGAGGAAGAAGAAGAAGAGAGTATGGAGGGGAGGGTTATGGTTTAGAGAGAGAGAGAGAGGGAAGTGAGGATTTTAGGGGGAGGGGATTATTTATTTTGATATAGGGAATGGTTTTAAAATTAAAAGAAGAGTGGGAAAAAGAGAAAAAAAATTAAAATATCAGCGGACGTCACCGCAGTCGACGCCGCGGTCTGAGACAGAGTCCCCCGCGGTCCGAGCCGTGGTCGCGGTGAAAAATTGAACATTCAGTGATTTCTGCGGTCCTGGCCGCGGTCGCGGCTGGCATAAATTTTTGCTTTTGTGTTTTTTTTACACGAAAATACATACTACACTTACAACACATTCGTGGGTTGCCTCCCACACAGCGCCTGATTCAACATCGTGGCACGACGCAAGTGGTTGAGCCTTCACTCCTCATTCGCATACTGGGGTTCTTTCAAATTGATCACCACTGTATTCCCTTTTTCTTCAGCTATTCCAAGGTAATGTTTCAACCTTTGCCCATTTACTGAGAACTTTTTTGTCCCATCTTCTAACTCAATCTCAATAGATCCACTTGCGAACATTTGCACCACTCTAAATGGTCCTGACCATCAGGACTTTAACTTACCCGGAAACAATCTCAGCCTTGAATTATACAATAATACCTTGTCACCGGGTTTGAAATTTCTGTCCACAATGTGCTTATCATGCATCTTCTTCATTCTTTCCTTGTAGAGCCTCATGCTTTCAAAGGCTTGATATCTAAATTCTTCCAGCTCATGCAACTCTGTCAGTCGATTTTGTCCAGCTGCTTTGGGATCCATGTTCAATTGTTTCAGTGCCCACCAAGCTCGATGTTCTAGCTCCACAGGCAGGTGACAGGCCTTCCTAAATACCAACTTGTATGGTGACATACCTATTGGTGTTTTGAACGCAGTTTTATAGGCCCAGAGTGCATCATCAAGCTTCTTTGTCCAATCAGTTCGTGTGGCATTCACCGCCTTGGTTAGTACACTTTTTATCTCCCTGTTAGACACTTCAACCTGCCCACTGGTTTGTGGATGGTAAGGGGTAGCCACCTTGTGGCGTACATCATACTTTTCAAGCAATTTCTCGAAGGCTCTATTACAGAAGTGAGTGCCTCCATCACTGATGATTGCTCTTGGTATCCCAAATCGGGTGAATATATTCTTTTTCACAAAACCTATCACCATTCTTGCATCATTAGTGGGCAACACTGCATCTTCCACCCATTTAGACACGTAATCCACAACAACAAGTATGTATTTATTACCAAATGAGCTGACGAAGGGGCCCATGAAGTCAATCCCCCAAACATCAAACACCTCTACCTCTTGAATCGGGTTTATGGGCATCTCATGGCGATGGGAAATGTTCCCGGTTACCTAACATTCGTCACAGCCCTTCACCCATAGGTGTGCATCTCTAAACACTGTTGGCCAAAAGAACCCGGCCTCTAGCACTTTCGCAGCTGTCCTGGCTCCTCCAAAATGTCCTCCATATGCTGATGCGTGACAAGCCTGCAAAACAGAAGATTGTTCTATCTCGGGGACACACCTCCGGATCATATTATCAACACAGATTCTAAACAAATAAGGCTCGTCCCAATAATACATGCGGCAATCATGATAAAATGTTTTCTTTTGGACAGATGAAAGGTCATAGGGAACAGTACCGCAGGCCAGGTAGTTTGCAAAATATACATACCATAGCGCATCCAGCTGCTCGTCTGGAAAGGTTTCCAGGATCTCTTCGACCTCGACTGATTTTTCAGCTCCTTCAAGTCGCGATAGATGATCAGCGACTTGATTTTCTGTGCCCTTACGGTCACGAATTTCGAGGCCAAATTCTTGCAACAGTAGCACTCAACGAATCAGGCGCGGCTTAGACTCCTTTTTCTCAATTAGGTACTTGAGTGCTGCATGGTCAGTGTATACAATTACCTTGGAACCAATAAGATATGATCAGAACTTGTCAAACGCAAACACCACCACCAACATCTCCTTCTCTGTCATTGTGTAATTGAGCTGTGCACCGCTTAGCGTTCTGCTTGTGTAGTAAATCGGGTGCATCAGCTTATCTTTTCACTACCCCAAGACTACTCCTATAGCATAGTCGCTGGCATCACACATGAGCTTAAATGGTTGCTCCCAGTTGGGTGCAATAATGATGGGTGCAATGATCAATCTCTTCTTCAGTTCCTCAAATGCCAACCTGCAATCATTAGAAAACACAAAGGGCTGATCCTTTTCAAGGAGTTTGCATAATGGGTTAGCAATTTTGGAAAAATCTTTTATGAAACGCCGGTAGAACCCAGCGTGTCCAAGAAAACTTCTCACCCCCTTGACTGAAGTGGGCGTTGGTAACTTCTTAATCACATCAACCTTAGCATGGCCGACCTCAATTCCTTTACTGGACACTCGATGCCCCAGGACTATACCTTCTTGTACCATAAAATGGCACTTCTCCCAGTTTAGCACTAAGTTTGTCTCCACACATCTTTTAAGCACTCTCCTTAAGTTGTGAAGACAGTCTTCGAATGAATCTCCCACCACGGAGAAATCATCCATAAAGACCTCCATAATATCCTCCACCATGTCTGTGAAGATGGCTAACATGCACCGTTGAAAAGTCGCGGGTGCATTGCAAAGCCCAAAAGGCATTCTCCGAAAGGCAAAGATGCCATACGGACAGGTGAAGAACATTTTCTCTCTATATTCGGGGGCTATTGATATCTGATTGTACCCCGAATATCCATCCAAGAAACAGAAGTGTGATCGCCCAGCCAGCCTGTCCAACATTTGGTCAATGAAAGGAAAGGGGAAATGGTCCTTCCGGGTGGCTGTGTTCAATTTCTTGTAATCCATGCAGATACGCCACCCTGTGACTGTATGAGTTGAGATCAACTCATTGTTCTCATTTTTTACAACAATCATTCCCCCCCATTTTCGGCACACATTGGATAGGGCTGACCCAATTACTATCAGAGATGGGGAAGATGATTCCCGCATCTAATCATTTGATTACTTCTTTCTTTACAACCTCTTTCATGTTTGGGTTCAGCCTTCATTGGTGTTCCTTGGAAGGTCTGTGCCCCTCTTCCAGGAGAATCTTATGCATACAGAAGGCTAGGCCGGATGATATGATAACATGCAAGGTCGAATTAGGGCCTAAGAACATATACCTGAGGTGATCTGGGAGTGGCTTCAGTTCCAACTTGGGTGGTTCCTCTATTGATGGATTTGCTGGAGGAGTGGACCTTTTTTCTAGCTCAAGGGACTCAAACTGAGGTTCCCTTGACCAAAATCCTCGGCCTTCCAGCGCCATGACCCATTCAGCTAACCCTTCATTATCCATTTCTTCTAAATTCGTCAGACATGCCTCCAATGGATCTTTTACAGTTAGGGTCATATCATCTTCTTGCAGGATTACATCCACTGCTTCCACTAGAGAGCAATTATTATATTCGCTGGGTCTCCTCATAGATTGCTAAACATTGAATATGACTTCTTCATCGTTCAATCTCATTTTTAATTCCCCAGTTTCATAGTCGATCAGTGCTCTCCCCGTGGCTAAAAATGGTCTCCCTAAAATAAGAGGTATCTCCTCATCTACCTGACAATCCAAGATAACAAAGTCTGCAGGGAACACGAATTTCCCCACTTGTACCAACGCATCATCAAGAATACCAGTGGGCCTCTTCACTGTGCGGTCAGCCAACTGTAGTAGCATCGAAGTTGGCCTAGCTCTACCAATGCCCAGTTTGGTGTACATAGCCAGCGGCATCAGATTTATGTTGGCTCCCAAATCACGCAACGCCTTTGCAAAGGCATAACTTCCAATTGTGCATGGAATAGTGAAGCTACCTGGGTCCGACATCTTTTGAGCCATCGGTTTTGCCACCACTGTGCTGCAGGTCTGTGTCAAAGTCACAGTGGATAGATCTTGAAAATCAAACTTCTGTGACATTAGATCTTTCATAATCTTAGCATAACCGGGCATCTCCCTCAAGGCATCCATCAAAGGAATATTCAACTAAATTTGACGCATCATCTCCATGAACTTCTTATATTGGTCTGCCTTCTTTTGTTTGACCAGTCTCTGAGGAAAGGGTGCAGGTATCACCCTTTGTGCATTGCTTGCTGGCTTCTCTCTGTTAGAATTTTCTGGCACAAGAGGTGCCATCTGTTCTACAACTTGCTCATTCATCTTTTCTTTGCCTTTTTCCTCCTGACTTTGCTCAACCACCACTTCAGTAAGTTTTGTTGGTTCCTCTACCTCTAATTGAACTGGAGTAGCCGGTGTAGTGTCCTTGCTGGCTTGTGCAATTTCCTGCTCTCTGTCTAAATCTCTCCTATTCCGGAGACTTACTGCCATCAGCTTATTCGGGTTTTCGTCCTTGGGGTTTATGTTTGTGTCTGCAGGCAAAGTTCCCTGAGGACGGTTGTTCAAAGCCATGGACAGCTGACCCAACTGCGTTTCAATATTCTTTATGGCTGAATCATGCACTGCCAATTTTTCCTACACTTTATTATTTGCCCCGATGAGTTGCTGAAGCATACCCCTGATTTCCACCATGTTGTTATCTTGCTGTTGAGGGGATGGTTGGTATGTCAATTGTTGTTGATTTTGTTGTGGATAGCCCTGTGGTTTCTGATATGGTACTGTCACCAATTGGTTTTGAGGGTGCATACCCCCAGGCTGCTGCATATTAGGCCTGTACTGCTGATTTTGTTGCGGTCTCCACTGTTGTGCTCCTTGCCTCTGACCCCCATAGTTGTTGACATAATTCATATCTTCCCCTGCCCCTTAATTTTCACCTTATCCGCTTCATGAACACACATAAGACTGATTAATACAAGGTTTACACAGTCCCTCATTTGTTATATCAACAATGTGCACCTGTTTTGTACCCATCTCATCAATCTTCTTTGTCAATATGTTCATCTGGGTCATGAGTGTGGCCATGTTCTCTGCATGCGAATTATTTATGTCAAGAGGAACTGGATTCACTATGGGTTCCAGTGTTGTACCTCTAGTCATCCACCCCGAATTTTGTGACATCTTATCGAGAAGGATTTTGCACTCAGTGAATGTTTTACTTAAAAATGCACCTCCAGCTGACGCATCCACATTTGCTTTCAAATTGTCAGCTAGCCCCATGTAGAATCTCTGGCCGAGCATCTGGTCTGGAATGCCATGGTGAGGACACTTCACTAACATCCCTTTAAATCTTTCCCAAGTTTCTTGCAAGGACTCAGAGGGTTGCTGCCTATACTGCAATATGTCATCAATCTGTTTTGCAGTCTTGTTAGGCGGATAGAACTTGTTCAGGAACTGCTTGACTAATTCCTCCCAGGTGGTAATAGAGTTGATAGGAAGCGAATTTAGCCAAGCTGAGCTTCCCCAGTTACCGAGAATGGAAACAGTAGCAGCTTGATAGATTCCAGAGTCGCATTTGGCTGCCTTTGGGTCATACAAATTGATAGAAAAATTTTCAAGTGTTGTTTCGGGTCTTCAATGTGTGACCCGGAGAACAGTCCTTTATTCTGTAGCATGTTGTTGGTGATCTGGAATGTCTCCGCTTGAATTGTGGGCACAGCTATAGCAGTGGCCAGATTATCAGTTGTGGGTTGTGCCCAGTCATAAAGTGCAGCTTCGGGCACAAGAGGTGCCACACTTCTGACATTTAAGTCAGCTGGCTCATTCCTGACGTTTCCGTTGACGTTATCTACGTCACCCATGTCAAATTCGAGTTGGTGTGATTGTTGAGATTGTTGAAGTCTTTTGTTGGCACGGTTCAATGCCCTGAATGTTTTCTTGGAGTCTGAGAGTCCTTCTAGAAGTTCTCCAGTCCTCGAAGAACTTCTAGGCATACACCTGCTTTCCACCAGAGTTCAAACGTTAGAATTTCAATGAAAAGATTGGGTATAGAGAAAACTGACTACACTTAGAATTTTTGTACTTCTCTCAATTGTAATTGATAACACCGTTAATTCCCCTGCAATGACGCCAAAATTTGATAACGCCAAACTATGCCTTATACAAAGACACACACAGACGTAGCAAATATAATCTGAGTAATTCTGCCCAGAGTCGAACCACAAAGAATTAACCTATCAATTACTTTTGACTGACTTACTAAATTCACAAAATCAATTTTCCTAAAACTTTGTAATTCACAATTGATGATATTTCTAACAACTAAAGTCTGAAATTAATTAACAGCTGAAAATTAACTATGCTTGATGTGTAAACAGTTGGAATAAGGTCTAAGGTAATGGTTTCCCCCGTTAGTGATTTCCTTGGTTGTATGTTTCTTATAGTGATACCTTAGTTGTCTCTATCAATCAAGAACTCTCCAACTATCATAAATCTCTCTCAAGCAATTATGATAATTTACTAGACGCACTGTCTCAAGCTACGCTAGCTAGATTCACATTACTGTTCTTTTAGATTGCACCCGAGGTATCGTTATCTCTAATCCAATCTCTAAACCCTCGGTTGTGACTCTCGTATATACTCTGGGAGTGATGTTGTTCAAACAACTACCTAAATATGCACTCTCTCTCAAGAAGATACATAATAAATAGGAACGGATAATTGAGGGCCCTTTCAACTAACCACAATCAAAACGTAGATGAACAAATAGAGATTAACAACCAATTCAAACTATATTAATATAACAACCAAGTCATCCCCAACGGGTTTCACCAAAACCTTAGATTAAAGTATTTAGCTACTCATGACAACATAAGAATAAACTACGAAAATATTCATAATGGAAAATTGCAAGAAAAATAGAAGAGAATAAGAACTATGATGTTTTGGGTGATCTCTCACACTTGCTCTTCTTGCAAAAGTAATCTCAAAATAAGCCCCTTTGTCTTGGGCGAGTTTCCTACATCTTATAAGGGTTTTACAAAAGCTTTCCCGAATTGACACTTTGGCTCCTTAAATTTCTAGACTTTTAATATGCCGCCGCGACGCTGACCGCGGAGAACACTGACTCCAACCACGGTGCGGACCGCGGTGGCAACCGCGGTGAGTATGATGGGCCTTTTTGTCTTTGCGTTCCTTCTCTTTTTGCTCTTTTGTGTTTGGGTACTTCTTGAGTGGGCGTTTTCTTCACGTTATTGCCTCTAAACACTTCATGTTGCTTCCTCACATCTTATATTCCTTGCTAAACCAAATAGCATTAATTAAAGTAATTTATTGGCAACTTACATTATAAAACAACAACAAAGTATGGGCAATTATGGTGTAAATAACAACTATATAGCCTATTATCATTTTACTACTAATTTGAGATTTTTGTTTTTAATTATTTTGACTTTTATGCAAAAATTTCAGGAAGTGTATGACCCGTTCCTCCTCGAGAGAACTAGTTGAATACGATCCTGAAATTGAAAAATCCTTGTGGTTGTTGCGAAAAGAACAGGTTTCACAATCTCAAATTTCTTCATAAGATAAAATGGAGAACGAAGAACTTAACAACAAAAATCAACTCCCGCCACATCAAGTAGAAGAACAGTTTGATGAAGTGGCACCACGACGTGATAGAATACTAAGAGATTATGTAAGGCCAGATCATTTTGAAGGAGAATCAAGTGTAAGGAGACCACCAATTGCAGCAAATAACTTTGAAATTCGCACAGGCTTGATTCAAACTATTCAACAGTCGTGCCAATTTACTGGTGATGCAAGTGAAGATCCTCACACCAATCTAATTGATTTTCTTGAATTAGTTGAAACTTGCACGTATAATGGAGTCATAATAGACACTATCAGGTTGCGGCCTTTTCCTTTTTCTTTAAAAAATGAAGCCAAAATATGGTTGCGAAGTCTGCCAAGAGGTTCAATCACTACATAGGACCAAATGACTCAGAAATTTCTTAATAAATATTTTTCACCTGCAAAAACATTTAAAATGAAGCAAGAAATCAATAATTTTGTGCAAACAGATACTGAATCTGTATACCAAGCATGAGAACGATTAAAATCAATGCTAAGAAAATGCCCACACCATGGTATCCAAGATCCTGACATTTTATATATTTTTTATTATGGTCTTAAACCCTATGCTAGAAATGTTATTGATACAGCATTAGGAGGATCCATAATGAGCAAAACTACTTCGGAAGCCATGAGATTGCTCAAAGAAATTTCAGAAAATGTTGCTCAATGGCCCTATGACAGAATGATTGTTAAGAAAGCAGCAGGAGTCAATCAGGTTGAAGCTTGGAATTCATTAGCGCAACAAATTGCAACTCTAACACAAAAAGTTGAGGCATTTCAGGTAAATACTCAATCATCATCTCAACATGAGAATTGTGACATTTGTGGAGGCAATCATCCCAATCATGAATGTCAAGCTTCAACGCAAAATTAAGGGCAAGTAAATAGTATTAGATATAGAAACAGTTATCCATTCGGTAGTCCAATGGCACAAAAACATTCTAGATTCCAATGGAGTAACCCAAATGGTGCTGAAAATCCTCAAAGATTTTTCAATCAAAAGCAGCAGGTACAGGGACCACCTGGTTTTCAAAATCAAAACAGAGGCCAACAAGATTTTCAGAAATATCAACAACCACCCCAAAAAGCTCATCAGCAAAGCCTCGAAGACATGATGTACAAATTCATTAAAGCTACTGATGAGAAGGTTGAAAGTCAAAGTTCAGCCATCAAGAATTTAGAAATTCAGATGAGCCAATTAGCAACCCTCATGTCTGAACAAATAAAAACTGCTCTACCAAGCAACACCGAAAAAAATCCAAAGGAACACCTCAAAGTCATCTCTCTGCGGTCAAGTAAAACTCTTGATCATCCATATGCAGATAGACAAGGAAAATCACAAGAAGTGGAACAGGTAAATGAAAGAGAGAATAAAAGAGACTCTGAACTTCTAAAAGAACAAAAAGAAAAAGAAAAAAAGGTACAAGAAAATGAACTGAAGACAAATCCTCACTCTGTACCCCTCCCGTTTCCCCAAAAAATGAAAAGAGAAAATCTTGACA